ACCACAAATGTTTCAAGCAAACAATTGTTCCATACAATCTTCATATCTCACATTTGTCACATAACCAAGGTGAAGTCCGCCTACATTTGTCACAGGTAAATTTGCCACAGGCTGCACAACGCCGAGTACTTCTGTTGTTATTATTGCAGTGTAAGCGTGCCTGGCACTTTGTCTTTATCTGCTGACTCTCAACTTTCATCTCACGGCTCAGCTGTTTACGCTCTTCCATTTGTTTTTTTTCCTGCATCAGTTTTTTGAGCTCCTCTGAAAGCTGCAGCATGAACAATCGGCGACTTTCTTTTGACCCTGTACATGCTGTGTACAAAACATGTGCATTTGTGGTAGCCATGTCAAGGAGGCTATAAAACACAGCCATCAGACATCTCCTTCGACCTGCACACACAGAGTAATTGCGCAATTTCTGGTCCATGATGTCGTCACAGCATTTGAGGTTATTGTAATCAACTGTGTTTTGCTTTTGTTTTCGGGCATCCACAATTTCACCTTTTTGATGCATGGTGATCAAAAGACAAACTTTTTTTTTTTTTTTTTTTACGCATACACAGTCAGCAACGCTCTTCCAGATGTGAACACCTGTGTGGAGTGTAACTGGCGCCCTGAGGTTTCCTTTGCAGTTGCTGGTAGCTCCCGACGATTTTTATTGATGGGGCCAAGCAGAGTCGTACTGCGCTGAAGGAGTCTGTTGGCCAAAGACAGAAAGGTGAAGAAATTGTCCATAGTTACTGTCCTTCCCTGGTCCAGAAATGGTTGCATCAATTTCAGAACAACATTCTCTGACAGCCTCTCTCCCGTTGGACGAGTGGGATCTTTTCTCAAGTATTGGATGGCATTACACATGTATTTAGTGTCCAGATCCGCTGCAATCCAAAATTTGATTCCAAACATGTCAGGCTTGGATGCCATGTATTACAGAAAGGGGCAGCGAACCTTTGACGGAAACAACTGCTCATCCACAGTGACATGCTGTCCTGGACTGTAGGATGATAACCAGTTCTGAAAGAACTTCTGCCAGATTTCTGAAATTGCAGCGAATTTATCATTTTGTATGCATTCCCTGCGGGTGTCCTTGTTGTCAAAGTGGAGGTACCGCTTTATTTTGTAAAAGCGATTACGAGACATAATGGGTTTGATATCTGGGGGACCAAATTTATTGGCCCACATGTCTCACTCGGGACCTATGTAATCCATTGCCGCTCTTCGAAAAAGGATTGCGAGGAACGCCATCAGCTCGTGGGCAGTCATCTGCCAGTTGGGGTTGGTTCTGTGGCTCTCGCGGACTGTGTGTTCTCTGATGCTCAGCAACATGTTTACATCCACCAAACACAGGAAACTTTGAAGGCGACTTGTGATTTTTCGTCTCACTGACTGTTGGACTTCCAGATCCGTTGAAGGCAGTTTGTGGGGTTTCAGCAGCAATCAAGTCTCCAACTTTCCATTGGAACCAAACAGTGCCATCTTTCGCCCTCTCTGCGGATCCAGGCGGTGTGCCAACATGACCAACTTTTTGTTTTTTACTTTGAGGAGGGTTGCCACACGTGTCTTCCTCTTCATCAGATGAGGCTAGTCGGTGCTCAAGTCATTGAAAGGATATTGTGCAGGACAGCTGTGTCTTTGTCAGTGGGTAAGTACCCACTAGTTGATGGATACTTAAGAATACAATGGAAAGTAATTAGGGGTGTGACACATATTTGGTTTCTGGGGGGGAAAGAGAGTCGAGACTCAAGTCTCCCTCTTGGGAATCTATTAATTAAACCTTTCGCTGTGGAAACCATCTTGCTCTCGGATCTGTTTCTTTCTAAGCTTGTGTAATTTCTTTGGTCTTCCAACATTCGTTTGTCATACCAATTCCCTTTAATCCAATCTTGATTCTTGCTGCCTTCAACACAAGGTTATTAAACGTTTCTACTTCCCTGCTGACTTTCTGCGGTCTTTCTTTGTGCCAGTCCTTGAACAGATACTGTTTCCACTGTGAATGCTGGTACATCTCCGGAGTCCCAAACTAATCTCTTTTTTTCCTTTATTTATCGCCACCGGAAACATAATAGTGATGAATATTGGCTTGTGGTTTGATGAGAGTATGTTGACCGCCTCCCATGAGAAATACTCTGTCTGGGCCTCATGGACTATGGTGATATCGGGCGAAGAGAGGACACCAGTAGCTGGGTCTTGCCGTGTTGGGAATGCCATTGTTGGCAAAGGTCCCATTCTCGTCTAGGACTTGATCTGCTCGTGATTGACCTCGAACATCAGCAGTCATCATGTTATCCCAAGGCGGGTTGTGGGCGTTAAGATCGGCACAGATAATACTATTCCATTCAATCATGACAGGAAGTACATCTTCATTATATTTGATGATTTGCTCCAGCGCTACACCGGCGCTGCGCTAGTAGAGCGTTCACACGTGCAAATTTGCTCCGGCGTAGCCCCGGCAAACAGCTTACACCGGAGCAAATTTGATCCACCTCAGGGAGGTGGTTTAAAAATTTGCTCTAGAGCAAATGCTCGTTTGCGGGGCAGCACCGATGTAAAATGGTACGTGTGAACGCTACAATTTGCTCCGGAGCAAATGCTCGTTTGCGAGGGGTGGAGTAGCCTCGCTAGGCATGAGAAGAGTTGATTACGTACGGCGAGAATGCCTTGCTTTCGTGCTCTGTCGGACTTCCGTCATGTGTTTGTTTCATAACAAGACACAAGACGTGGCTGGTAACAGTAGCAAGCACCTCTTGGGTTATACATCTCAACTAGAACGGCGGGGAATAGTCCCCAAACGTCATCTTTCCTTTTGTAGGAGACTGGACTTGGCTGGTAACAGTAGCAAGCACCTCTTGGGTTATTTCACATCAGAGAGATGGCAGGGGGGGGGGGGGGGTAGTCCCCAAACACCATCTTTCCTTTTGTAGGAGACTGGACTGTCTCGGAGTTGTTTGTGTAGTTTGTTCCTTTGTTGTGTGTTCACAACCCCCCGTGCCCCATAGAATTTATTTTGTGATTTCCTCCCTTGATTTTTCTGTTTGACTCATTACATTGTTGCTTTTCAGAGTGTCATTGAAGTCATCGTTGATTTACGTTTTCTTGGGCGGTCACTCGAGCAGAAGGCACGGAGACCGAGAAGGAGAAGGACGTGCCTGTACAGTAGTTGCTTGAGTTGTGTATACGTTTTAAAAAGAACCCACACGACAGCTCATTGGTTTTCTGTCATTTTGCTCCGCTGCAGAAACTACCGTGTGAACGCAAGTGGAGCTGCACCGACGTTGCTCCGGTGCTAATACGCTCAGGGGTTTTGTACGTGTGAACGCTCCACAAAATTTGCTCCGGTGTCAAATATATCGCAACAAAATACATCAGTGCAGCGCCCGAGCAAATGTGTGCCGTGTGAACACCCCTATAGATTTGTGATGGTGAAGTTCACCAGATCTGGTAGGGGAATTTTGATACATTGTACTTCTAACCCGCGTAGATTGATTGTCTTTGTGGCTAATGCATAAGGTAGTTGTCTCTTGATAAAGATTACAAGACCTCCACCTCACGCTTCTCCACGAATTTCCCTGTCTTGCCAAACTGCGAGGTAGTTCCGGAAGCTGGATGTGGAATCAGTCGGTTCGGAGGTTTGTTTCTTGTATACAGGCTGTATCAATATTCCTTTCTTCTAAAATATCCTCGAAGAGATTCACATTCCATTGCATGATATTTATTTGAGATTGTAGTTGGTATGCAGCATTCGCTTTCATCGAATAAATTGTATCAGTTGGTGTATCGGTCTACATTCTGAACATTTCCACACTCTATCGGCTTTACACCGTTCAGCTTGTAGTCTTGTGTTGGTGACACATTTAGTATGACTGTGTCCTTTGCAACTTGCGCATATCCATCAGTTAGCACCTTGTCTGATCTTTTCTTTCCATTTTTTATAATTTGTTGTTCTCCATTTTTTTATTTGGGACCGGCTGTTCACTTCTATTTGTTCTTTCTTCCTTGTTTAACTTTCTTTGGCAGTTTCGACACTTCCATAATTGTTGCTCATCTGGCTTATTACCTTTTCTTCAGGCGCAGCTAGCATGAAAATGAAGTTGACAGTCTTCGCAGGTAACACTATTTTTAATCATCTTCCTTTTACAGTGTGGGCCCGTCTGCCGCCTCTGAGTTTGGGGGTGCTGGAGCTGTGGCTGCTGCCTTTGAGTTTGAGGGTTCTGGCTCGGAGTCTGAGGAATGACTTTAGGGCTGCTGTCGGGGTGTCCAGTCCTTGTCTATGAAATCACTGGGGTAGTGGGGCCCTCATTGGTGGTTGCGGGAAGCAACGATGCAGTCGAGGAGGGGCAGGCTGGGGCTGAGTGCGGGAGGTCACTTCAAATGGTCAAGTACTGGTTGGGTGTGAAAACAAAGCAATAGTGAGCAGTGACAACAACGAAGCAACTAGTGTGAACGTGGCATGGCCTGCCAGGTAGGCTGTCAAGAGCACCCAAAAAGAAGGAACAAGTTGAGACCTTCACACCCGACGCTGACATCTGCGATGGACCTGGTTCCTTACCCTCTCAAGGCCTGTCTGACCGAAAAGAGACACGGACACAGTGTAACAATGAAGTGAAATCACCTTTCTGGCTGTGTCCTGGTTCCTCTTCTCTTCCAGCCAGTCCTCCACTGTACCCGCCTAACGGTCTTGTCCAGCCCGCCTTCGGTCAGGCGGTCATGGTTGCAATTGGAGCACGCCGGTTTCACCCCCCACATTTTGTATGGTGCCCACACGAACAATTTAAAATGGAAAAACTGCCTGTGTGAAGTGGCGTATAATATGTGAGCGGGCTTGGGGACTCCCACCAGAGCTTGAGTTTGGAAGTGAGGACCGCTTTCCCACTGGCCGTTCTGCCGAACAGCGCACGGCCTACCCACGCGTGCTCGCTCTTGAGTAGTGTGGCGAGCCAGCCCTTTGGAAGCGCACACTGCTGCTTTGGCGTCGGCAGCTGTGGCAACGTGTTGCCACGGGCTCAGACCACGGAGGCAGAACGCCCTGCAGGAGCGGGCGATGTGACAGCAGTGCTGGTGGCAGACAAAGTGGAAGCCTGGGACAATGGCAACATAAGATGAAATAAAGTCACTTCTCACTTTATCTTCTTTGTCTCTCCATTTTTCCTACTCCATGGCAGCTTCAAGGAGCACGTCGTCTGAGGGCTCCAACGGGACTGACGGCTGCTCACTTGTTTATGCTTGATGCCGCTCATCAGTTGACTCATATAGAGAACGGTAGGTTTCACTGGGAAACTGTCCCAAATCAAGCAGTCGCTCATTTTTTTTGTGCATTTTATATTGCACTTATATTGAACTGTGTACAGTTCTTTTCTGAAACATTTATATTGTGAAATGAAACACTTTGTCGTCTCCCCCCCCCTCCCAATTTTGCTGCTGTAGACTGCAACTTTCCCCAGTGTGGGACAAATAAAGGTTATCTTATCCAACTCCCTGACCAACGGTGCTCCCATGACCATCAGCCGGTGCTGCATGACAGCGGTCATCTCTGGGAAGAGGTGCGCGCAGATCGCCAGGGCATCTTTATTAGTTCCCAGGGGCGGCTGCGACATGTTGCCGTTGTTACTCTTTCTGGTGAGAAGCCACAACCATGGCCCCATAGCCTACATCATTCTCAAGGAGCCATTTGAATCTTTGGCCCAGGTACTGGCCAAACTGGAGCGTAGTCTCACTGAGCACCAGTTGCCAGCACTCGGGGTCTCCCCCGCCTTGAACAACGCGGGCCACGGCCTCCTCCTTCACCTGGGCAGCCCTCTTGCAGGTGGTAGCTGCAGGTTTCGCTCTATAACAATAAGTGAAGCGTACTAGCCTACTTCGCAATGACACTTTTGAAATGAAAATATGGATGTACCTGTACGCTCAGGCCACCTTTGTTGAGTGGTGCACTGCAGCCGTAAATGCTTCACACCAGGCGGCATGAATACAATGTTAGGATTGAAATCCATTGCCTACCTACCAAACAAACACTCTAGAAATGTTCGACAACTTTGAGATGATATATAGAAGAGCCAAAGATACTCGCTAGGTCTAGTAAATAAGACAAAAACAAAGGATCCTTGAAAGTAACCCAACATATATGTTAGTAGGCTTGCGGCCCGAAATGCTCATTGCAATTACCAAATCCCGTATGTCTTCCATTAGTCCCTCATACAGATGACCTTCTCTTGACTTGCGCATCCACTCTCAAACGAAACCAACAGTGCTTACTAATTTTGGATTCGAAAGAGCAAAGCCTCTACGAATACTCAAAACCAAACAGGACATCAACAAATTACGCAGGCTTCTGCGCATGCGTAACTGTAACCTACTTTCGTGTGATTGGTCAAGTGAAAATGCTGGCAAACACTGATAAATGTGTCAGTTCAACGAACTATTTTATTCAAAAGAAAACCAACAAAGATAATTTAATACAGTACCGAAATAATATTATATATAGATGTTGTTAAGAAATTATAAATACGCCTCAATTGCACCTACCCGAGTCACTTAAAAGGTGCACAATCTATGCAGTTATTCAGTTTTAAAGTTAAACACATCAGTACTTTACACACACGCACACACAAACATACACAGATGGATAGATCAATCAATACACACACACACACACACACACACACACACACACACACACACACACACACACACACACACACACACACACACACACACACACAGACAACATCAGTATGTTTTTTCCCCCCTCAATTGTATGTCAGGTAAAAAAAAAGTTTGTGAAATGTGTTCGACTGGGGTAATTGTCTACTGTTTACCTTGAAAGTATTCCAGCAATATATGTGACTTTTAATTATTAATTTTTTTATCCATCGCATTCGCGCATGAAAAAATACTTCCCTCTTTATTATTTACTTTCAAACATGCACATCAGTAATGTGTTCGACTGGAGTAATTGTCTAGTCTTTTCCTTGAAAGTATTCCAGCGATATATTCGGAGTGTTGAAGTAACTTGTCATTTCAACATTTGTGAGTGAAAGGGAGAGAGCGCAAAATGTAAAAATACAGTAACTGGGCATACATTCGCGTAATTCATACGATACATACATTCGCGCCCAATACAGACATACCCGAACCTCAAAAAGTATTCAACCAAACTTACCAGAAGAGTGATTACGAGAGTTCCGATAACTGCTAAGTTCAACGATATGTGGTTAATTTCACACCACCTCGCCTAAATATTAAATTGAACGAATTTGAGAGAATCGCGGAGCGAGGGTTACGAAACGATCGCGTGCAGACATTAGCCAATGGGAGAAGATTGACATTTTGTGGTAATCTGCGATTGGCTGAGGTCTGAAGCAGATGTCGACCAATAGGAGGGGTCCAGTATCTGCGGTCGTTTGCGATTGGTCGGGACCAAACTTTTAAAAATTTTGGGCTCGTCACCTGAACATGGCGATGCACTAACATTTTTGTGCAAACTCAATTGTTCTTTTTCCAGTGCCTACCTCCCTGCCAAGCCTGGCACCACATTTTCCTCCACGGACCACTTGAACCTGCACGCATCCTTCCCCCCTCTCCTTCGCTTTCGGATCCTCTGCCGCCATTACTTTTGCTACCCAAAACAATCTCAGCTGAAACTCTTTTAGCACACATCACACCTGACACTTTTCTCCAGCCGTTCCAGCCTGCCTGCACATGCTTCTTTACCTCTTTTCTCCTCTCTCCATTGACCCCAAGTACTTAAAATCATCCACCTTCTTTGTCTCTTCTCCCTGTAACCTCACTCTTGTACTTGGGACACACACACACACACACACACACACACACACACACACACACACACACACACACACACACACACACACATAGATGAAGAACCAAAACTCTATCTACCCCGGTCAAGGACGGCGCCTCGAACTGATGTCCAAAAGCATTTCATTCATGGAACACTGTGAAAACTAAACATTTCAAACAACAATCAACATTACTATAATTTTTTTGACAATACATTAATATGCCAAAAAAAAAATAAAAACATACTGTGTGCACCTTGTTAACCGAAAGTAGATCATCTGAAATTAGATTGACCAGATGGTTTTGTTTCATCTCTCTCGCAATCTCTCTTTCTCTGCCTAATTTCCTCGCCATCCGCGACACGTGACCCTGAACCGGAAGTGATCCTCGACAAAACATTACAAATAAATTATATTTTAGTTGTCATGGCAACCAATCGACTCAATACTGGTGCCAGCTACACTCCCACCAAATTACTGTTGGATTAACATTTGTAAATGAAAAATTACTTTACGCACTTCAAAATATTCAACGGTAATTTCAGCATTGTTACGATGTGTCCTTGATGTCTTTTGTGAAAGTTGGCTTTTGCGATGGAGGTGCAAAACATCAATAAGAGACTTTAAAATGTCAGCTAAATGTCGTGGGTGTCTCAGTTAAGGATGAGGTCTAAATAATGAGAAATGAAAGGACGAAATAACGTCAATGAGCGTTTATGTGTGCAGGTGGGTGCAAAAGCTTCCAGTACCTGGTATTCCCAGGCGGTCTCCCATCCAAGTACTAACCAGAAGCCCGACCCTGCTGAGTTACCGAGATCGGACGTTCTCAGGTTAGTATGGCCGTGAGCGGAGACCGATGTCAAAATTCCCCTCTTTATAAGTTACAGGGCACTTGCATCTCCTTTTCTCTCCCATAAAACCCTTGGACTGGCAAGCCAATTTAAGTCAATGCGATCTGCTACGTTCAGGCCTCTGGAGGAGCGGTCTGCAGAGTTGTTTCCTGTGTCAGTGTAGTGCCACTGCTTTGCATCACTGTTTTCTCAAATTCTCTGGGTTCGATTTGCGACGAAAGCATGGAATCGATTGGCTTCATTTTTAATATAACCTAGAACCACTCAAGAGTCTGCCCAAACGTATTTGTCATCTATTTTGACCTCTCGCTCCTCCCTTAACGTCTTGTTCATGGCGGTTGAAGTTAATGCGGCAATTAGCTCCAGTCTTGGTATGGTGAGTGTTTTGGTTGCAGCCACTCTCGTTTTGCCAATCCTGTCTGGTACAAAACATTTTGGAATATCACTTTTATTGAGGTTCTCCAAATCCTCTATCCAAGTCTCCCACCTTAACTTCAAGTCCACAGGTAGTGAGTCGTCCCATCCTGTACCACTCTGACATCTCTCTTGTGGTATCCCTTTTCCTTCAAAGATGAATGGGGCTAGAAAACTGAAAGGGTCGCATGAAGAGGCTTCAACGGAAAGTGTCTCTCTTCGTGTTGTGGGTCTTTTAACCTTGAAGAAGAAACTGTCACTTTTGATCTTCCAACTTATTCCATACGCTCTATGCACTGGTGAGTCATCAGGCCTGGAATCAACATTCTTCACATCCACAGCACATTCTGCTACATCGATTGAATCTAGCGTTTCTCAAATATTGGCAAGGAATTTGTGGAGGTGCAGGTCTCCTCTTGCACACAGAGGTTGGGCTTCTTTTACAAGCTCTTTGGCCTCCTCAACTGACTCCACACTTATGAGTCCATCACCAACATAGAAATTCTTCCTCATGAAACGAGCTGCATTGGGGAACTGTTTGTCATTATGGATGGCAAGGCATTTTCTGGTGTAGTTGGCACAGCCAAGGGAAGATGACACTCCAAAGCAGTGCACCTTCATCTGGTATTCTATGGGTTGTGAGTTGGGAGTCTCCCTTTTCCCACCAGAGAAAATGCAGATAATCTCTTGTCTTCTTTTCTAACATGAAAACTGTGAAACATTTTTTCTCCGTCACACATGGTTGCGAGAGGAACTTTACGGAACCGGCATTGGACAGTTGTGAGACCATTTGAAAGGTCGGGTTCTGGTAACAGATGGTCATTCAGTGAGGTGCCCTTGTACTTTGCCAAACAGTCAAAGACCACAATAATCTTGTTCGGTCCGGGGGTGGTACACACCTTGGTGAGGTATTTACCAGAGATTCCTGACCTCTGGTTCGATGTCTACGTTCTCTGCATCATCATCTTTCATAGTGCCCTTTATAAACTTCAGACAGTCACTTCTGAACTTGTGATCTCTGTCCAGTTTTCTTTTAAATTGTTTCAGTCTTGCCAAAGCCAGCACTTTGTTGTCTGGGAGGCGAAGTTGTGCTTTGAAAGGAAGAGGCATTTCAAGCTGGCTGTGTTAATTTTGTTGGAGGCCTCCTTTAAGATTTGCTGAATGTCGTCTTGAGATATGCTTTTTTCACCTGCTTTTGTGTCTGCAAGATCAGACTCATGAGCTTTAATGACGGCTGATGGTGTTTGGGTGGTAACTCTGACAGACAAAGACTTGTCACATCTCCTGCATTTAAACATTGTGCTGCTCTTTGTACAATACTCCAGCCGAGATCAGTTTCGACAGGATAAGGTTCGCAGTCACCTCCAGTAATGACCTCTCTTGGAATCAAGGCTCTGGAGCAGTCGTAGCCGATCAATAGTCCAACACCACAATCCATCGGTGGGGGTAGCTCTTGGGTTTTGTCAACCAGATGTTTCAATGAAGTGGCTTTTTTGCGGGTAGGATTATGTGTGCGGTCAAAGGGAATGAAGTCTCTTGTGTCGGCTGGAGGTAGGTCAATGGAAATATTGTTTGAAAGGGTCTGAAAATGGCTGGCCATTTTTAGACCTTTTCTGACCCTTTTCAAGTAGTCAATATAAAATGAGGAGCTGGGATTAAATGTGTGGCGTCTGAAAAGACATGTAAATACGTCTTTGTGAGTGAATGAGTTAAGCTTTGCACATAATTCTCGATCAACAAACGTATGGCTGCTTTGTGTGTCCAAC